AAATGACTGAAAAACGGCAAACTTCGCAAGGCCATATTATCCGCATTTTACAACATTTCGCAACGAAACTTCGGAATATTACTAATTTTGTGATGCTCTTTCAAGCTGTGATAAAATTTTTGTCTAGACTTGTTGAAATCTAAATTTTAGTCAAAAGGTGAAAGGTCCATTGGCTGACAATCAGCTAATTTTTAATAATCATAATCACCGTGGAGTCAGTACAAATACAGTGGAGTCGGTGTGGAGAACTTGTATCATACAACTGATACACCCTGGGTACGAGGATGCTGATACATATATCAGGCAGCCAGTTTTGTAGACTTGCCACAAGTCGATCATGGGGGGGGGGGGCGAGGGAGCGCCCGACCCAAGCGACAAAGTCGCGAGTGGTCGACTTGTGTCCCTTGCAGGAATTTAAATCGCATTAAAAATTTTGGCGCGAATAATTTTGACATAAAAGGGGTACGGTGTACATTTCATACAATTTGTCAATTACTTCACCACGCCGACAATGGGTCTACAAAATTAACACAAAAACATTCTCAAGAATTGATATTTCAGTTTGTCGTCGAATGAAACAGTTTGCACCAAGTGTGGAAACGAAATAACTGACCTAAGTAACGGCGCCGAAATCTATGCTATGACTAATGGTTCAATGTATCGACAAAACAAGTGCATGTAAAAACTTATTGAATCTGAACAGTTGTTTCTCTAACAATGTGTGCCGTAATTGTGTCGACAAGAATAGTAATTTATTAGACTTATTATAGAAAGTTGATTCAGTTCGCCAGCAATTTAACGTAGTAGAAGTTAATCTAATTGAAAAGAATCAGACAACTGTAACCAAGAAGCAGAGAGGAGGCGATTGTGATCAACGAGAAGACGTCACTAGAGTTCAAAATCCAGTAAAAATATGCGTTGTTTTCTCAACAAACGACTTTATAATAATCGTCAGTAATCGAGATCAAGAAACCCAAACCAAACCCGAAACTAGTGAGGAAATTTTAGAATCATCAGATGCATCTTTGATGACAGTATAAAGTTTATTTCTACACCCTGTACTTTATACTCAATGTAATTTATAATGTTTGTTTGTGTATATTCATATCGTTTTTGTGTTCTACAAAATTGTATTTACATTGTTTACCGCAGGCCTAGAAAATATATTTATCTTCCTGGCAGCAAAATTCAAAAATTAAAATTTCCTGTGTAAGTCAACTATAAAACGTCGTTCCTATGTAGATTTCAGAGAACATGTGGACTATGATGGCGCACACCTCGACTTGCAAAATGCTTAATTTGGAATTTTTAAACAATAAGTAAATTATATGGCATGAAAAAATATTTCCTGCAAGGTGCAAGAAAATTTCCTGCAAAGATATTTTGTTAAACATTTCCTGGCAGCGGTGCTGCTGGCGCTGCCGGACATTTTCCAGCACTGGTTTACCGTCTGTTTGCTTCAATAATACACATTTGTTTAACAAAAAAGTCTGAGAATATAATATTGCTAGACTCCTTCGATATAAATGACCGATAATGTAACTGCTTCGGCCTTCAATGTAAACAATGACTTCACCGGTGGAAAAATCCGGTGGATTTTTCCACCGGTTATATTTGGCGTGCTGCAAATGACAAAAGTCCTTTCCACAGAGGAAGTGAAGCGCGCCATAGAAGGCTCTGGAAAGGACTTTGGAAAGTCTACCAGTTTTGATGCTCTCTATATATTGTTTACTATCAAATTTTCTAAAAATTCAATCCATTCAAGCAGTGGAGGGCCTGAGCCAACTAATCTGCAAATTATACATCTTGATCAGCCAAAGATTAATTGAAGGGTTCATCAGCTATTTTTAGTGACTCTTTCTAAGTTGAACTTTATAGGGACATGCAGGGATGCCGGAATGATAAAAAGGCAAAGGGGGGCAAACACACACCAAAGGGCACCTCTATGGATCCCGGTGAAGATATAAACCTACAATAATGTGTTGACTTGCCAATGAAAGCAAACGCACTTAATCAGGTCACATTCAAGATCATACCTCATGGTTTTGCCCAAAAAGCATCACTGGAAATGTGATTTATCAGGTAGTATTTTCCAACTCAAAGGGCACTTCTGCCCCCCTTGCCCCTCCTAGCAAAAGGCAAGAGGGGTAGCTGCCCCTCCTCCCCCCCCCCCCAGTTCCGGCATCCCTGGGGACATGTCACATGTGTTAATATACCCACTTGAAAATATTTTTGACACATTTCATGCAGCATGCAAGCAGAAATTGTTGCTATCAGGTTTCAAACATTTCAGTTTTATCAAACCACAAACTGACAACGAACTATTAAATTTTTATGCTCGTTGTGTTTTACTCTGCAAAAATATTAATACAGCATTTCAGCTCTACCAGAGAAACCAACCAATCCGCGTGTGCCGTGTGTCAAGTGTCATTGGTTCGGCTTGTTTTATTACATGTGCAATTTATGCTTAAATACAGCACTGAAACACTAGCGAACAAATAAAATACAATAAAACATTCAAAATAGTGATAAGAAATAAACACACAACACCACACAGCCAAAAAAGGCTTACCTTTCTTTCAACTTGAATCATCCGGACTGCGGCCATATTGAACACACGTCATCGGAACCTGCCGGGCTGTAATCGGTTTCCCGAAAGCTATGCGGCGAGCAAAGGCCGATGTTTCCATGGAAACGACAATATGGCTTCCAGTTCATGTTTTAAAAACAACAAAATGGTCATAAAAAATGTAAATTTTATAAATCATGTCTGTTTCTTGGTGTTGTAAACGAAGTAAATATGACAGAGCTTGGTAAAAATGTTGGATTTTCTGGCCAATGTTTTCCAGTGCGAAGTTTGACACGAAATAATGCGTTAGAAAGTGGCTACGCTGGTAGGTGCAACTCAAGTACTGAACTGTGCAAGAAGTTTATAGGCTAATAGTGATTTTTATAATTATCTACTGTTCTTCTTGAGTTCTGCTTAATTTTAATTCAGCTTTTAGTGCGATAGACTTCTGCCAGTAAATGGCCAGATTAGCTACATGAAGTTATGATGAAATTGATCAGAAATTCATGTGACATTTTCAAACTAATTAATGTTTTACTGGAATACTGGGAAATTTTACACTTTACCACAGTGTAGATACATATACAGAGTTGTAACTAGTGTACCCACTTTTTTGTGCGTGTGCTCGGCAAGTTACTAGATGCATGCATCTGATTGGATGATGGCTCACTTTAAAACTTGCCAAGCAAGTTGATCATTTTTTGCCTGGTCGCCTGAAAAAAAGTGGGTACATGAAAACGTAAGCTAGCTTCCATAGTGTTTACAATGGTCAGTTACAGCCATTGAACTATAAATAAACTGGAAGGCTAACTCGGGGGGGGGAATTGAAGCCAGTGCATTTTAGTTTTTCTGAGTTATGAGCAGAAATACTCAACACTGAACGTTGGGCTATTATCAAATTGAAGCTATTGAAAAACGCTATTTGGTGTAGAAATTTCAAGACTTTAGCTAAAAGGGAAATATTGAAAAACTACAAACATAATTACCGATAATCTTGCCGTTTTGCAGTTGTTTTTGTATTTTTTAAATATTTTTCTTTTCGCTGAAGTCTTGAAATTTCCACACCAAATAGCAATTTTCAATAGCTTCAATTTGATATATAGCCTGATGTTTGGGGTCAAGTATTTCTGCTCATAACTCAGAAAAACTATTTTGGCTTCATCAAATCATAGGCCTTCATCATAGCAGTTAGCCTTCCAGTTTATTTATAGTTCAATGGTTACAGCTCTGTATGTCTCTCCTCTGTGACTTTACCGTACCAGAGTAATCACTGAATGATACATACGCCATCAAAACACGCCAATTAAAGAACGGAATTTAAACCGTCAGAACACACGCTATCAAATACTTGCGGTACAGTAAAGTGTAAATTAGTACCCTTTTACTGTAGCATATTTATTCTAACAAACACCCTTGTTTAAAAATTATTTCAGATTTGCGGGCGTTTATTAGAGAAAGACATTTAATACAAAATTTGTAAGTTGAGACCCAGTGTTTATTAGATAGTAGGCATCCATAATTGGAATATAGACACAGTTTTATACCCCTGACTGGAAAGTTTGGAAATTGCGCGGTCGAGATTTTGAAAATTTAATAGTAATATACAGAAAGCATAAAAATTGTGCAGCCGATATTTCGGCCACGCAATATAAACTTTTCACACTGGAGTTTACCCAAGAACTGTTAATGCTTGGAACAATATCCATGTTACCGTTGATATTGCTAACAATTCACTGTAAGATATGTAATTCAGATAATTATGTAATAAAGTTTGAGAGTGGGTTGACTACAAAATTGTTGTAGTTTGCTACAGCTACTACGAAAAATGTAGCTACAACTATTAACTGCTATATATATGTTGTTCCAAAAATTTAGCAAATTTACTATTGCTACTTTGCTACAACAAAGTATCCTGCTATCCACATCCAATTAATCTGTTTACGCATCCAGTCCGACCTGTCAATTGATGAGAAATATGAGAAAATTAATAACGTCAACTACCTGTGACCTACAACTAAATTCGCTACTAGTACTATGGTCTAATTGGTACTACGAAAAGTTCATAATGATAATCATATTAAGTTGACATAAAACTTAATTTCCATAACCATAAATTATGCTTGCCTTATATTTTCATTTCTTGCATGGAAAGTAGGCTGGGGTGATTTTTCAGAATAATGAAACCCTATGATAAAACTTCAATTTGGAGAAAACTGAAAAACCAGTTTTGAAGTACATTTAATTGGTACAAGGTCGACGTCATTACAAAATGTAAATAACTAACACATTTTTGAGAGGGTAAATGTGTAATAATGTAATTATTCAATTACTTTTGAGAAAAGGAAAATGGATTACCTTTTGAAGCAAGTAATTTAATATAGTAATTAAATATTTAAATAATTCCTTCTTGAGTAATTTTGCAGTTCAGATGTTGATCATAATAAAGGGTCATCCATAATAATTATCAACATTTTCACGAGTGTACAAACCATATGATTGGAAAGGGGGACCAAAGCTCATTTATCTGTGACCAAAGTATGCTTTGGCCAGGAGCTAGGACTCCTACTCATGAGCTTGGCCAGAGGCCCATGCATCCACCTGACTTTTGGACTCATCTGGTATTTTTGAAAAAGGATGGGCAATAAAATGTTAAAACATTACTCACAACATAACTCCAGTATTTCGTGTTTATTAGTTAGTACAACTGTATACTATGCTTAAATTTAATTTGCTACATATTCAGTGAACAGTCACTGTATCTGGACATATGTCCACAAGCAATCCTTCAATTCTGAGCACAATTTTTCATGAGGGCCACAAATTTATCAGTACTTGCTTATAGTTCCACCGTGTCTTCTATTCTATTCTGCAGTTTTACACGTGGTGTTTTTCATAACTGCTAGGAATCACGTTTTTAGAAAATGAAGATCTGATTTCAAAATGATTCCAAGGGAATCATGTTTTTAGAGAGGGTGCATGCAGACCGGGTGCCCCTAATCTCCTACCAGGATACTACATAAAAAAAATTGTTTACTAGTACTTTGGCGTTTCGGTGGAACAGTCTCTTTGCCAGTAAGTTGGTATAGCATGGGTATTAACAGGTGATTGATGAATTTGAGAATTACTGCAAATAAAGAGGACATATGCATAATGTTTATTTTGTAACGGAAAAGAAGATGAAAGGACGTGAATGGCTGGATTCAAGATCGGAAAATTTGCTGGATAGTAAGAAAATTTGAGCGTGGGATTCAGGATTTAAAAACCATGTTTTCTCGCTGAATGAATAAAATATTAAAGAGCGAAGTAAAATATATTATAGCCGTGATAATAAAATTGTTTTAAAAAGTTATGGATTATAGTCTTTATCTTACACACGAATATGTATTTAGGGCTGGTGTTGGGGTCACGATCATGAAAAAATTAATATATTCATGCGCAAAAAGAAAATTCAACATGACTATATATAAGATACCTTGCCAAACTATTTAATATCCTGTTTCGTTCTTGCGATATTTAACAATGTTTTATATGCAAATTATATCCTACTACGACGTCAAATTGCATAGTGGCAAACTGACTGAAAAAACGATGATTCAGATTTGTAGACAGGTCGGTTGTTCAAAAGCCGATTAGCTTAACCCTAGGTTAACTTAAAATTCAAAGAAAACTTCCTATAACAGCTTGTCTATACTGAATTTGGAAATATTTCTTTAGAGATCTTGTCTGGATCAGTAGGAGTTGTCTTCTCTGATGTTTTGAAATAAACAGACGTGCAGAAATACATAAACTACAACAGCTTTGATGTTTAATTTTAACCCAGGGTTAGCGCTAATCCAGCTTTGAACAACCGCCCCCAGGGGCCGGTTGTTCAAAGGTGGTTAGCGCTAACCCTGGGTTAAAATTTAATCTGCTGTTTTAGTTTGTGTATTTCTGCACTTCTGTTTATTTCAAAACTTCAGAGAAGAAAACTCCTATTAATCCAGACAAATTTATAGATAAGCTGTCAAGAAGTTTGCTTTGAATTTTAGGTTAACCTAGGGTTAAGCTAACCTACCTTTGAGCAACCGGCCCCAGATGGTTAACCAGCAGCACTTGCATAAGGATAAGGACGTTAAAATCGTAGGTACCTCGGATACCCTACTAAACAGTAAACAACCGGGTGCTGTGCTTCAGTAGTTCCCAGAGGCCCTCACTACTAAATGGAACTTTAAACCGTTAATAAAGCAAGGCGTTTTCACAATTCTGTCTAGGCGGTGCATGGCTTGTAGCTTACAAAGCAGAACAACGAAGACGTTTTAAAGCAGTCTTATGTCGTGAACCTGATGTCGCGCTATCTGACCACGAGTCCAAACAATCTTCGAAATCAAGAAAAGCTGATGGATCTGAAACAAGAAGAAAACTTGATGGAATATATTTGGTAAATTTCTGTTTTTATAAACGTTTCTGGTGTAGTGTAGCAAGGATCTTTAGTTATTTTAATGAAAAATGTTTCAGTCCAAATTTAGGGAATCAAACTAATGTCTCCGAATACTCAGAACGCAGTCGAAATCTAGTAGACAATTTAATTTCTGACACGATCAAGCAAAAGAATTTAACAAGTGTTTATTTAAAACTGTTTGACATAAAGAGAAGTGGCACTTCAGGTTGTCTTTTTGCTTCTCTGTCTGTACGCTATAGCGAAGGTTTGACATGAAGTGACATAAGAAATGAGAGCTCAACTATGTATATTTATACACTGATTGACCAAATCTTACCGGTGAAGATATATTTACACGGTGCGATTTATCCTGCAAACCTTAATTTCTCAGCCTAAAGTAGTGGTTCCAGTTTGAAAGCATGCATAAGCCTATATACAATTCAACCTAGAAGAGGTAACCTAGATATGTTCCACGTCTCTCTTTCGTATAGAGAGGTGTGTTGCCCCACGGGATGTTATCCTGGAGGTAACCATTGGTTTAAATTGAGCTTTAGTCGTGTAGCTTGAAACATGCCACGTATTTTTAAACCGCTATCTAACAACCACCTTTACATAGTAAACTTTTGTGACGGCTCATGTGGTCACATTCATTTTGTAAATTATTGTCTAAAATAATTGACTAAAATTATATTGTCTAAATTCTAAAAATATGCTGCGTGAAATATGTTTCTTGAAAAAAAAGTTTAAATTAATAGACCTTTCCCCTTTTGAGTGAAATTTTGATCAAGACAAGTCTGGACAAAAATTTCATCACATCTTGAAAGAGCATCACAAAATTAGTAATATTCCGAAGTTTCGTTGCGAAATGCTGTAAAATGCGGATAATATATAGCCTTGCGAAGTTTGCCGTTTTTCAGTCATTTTGCATTACAAATCAATTTCCCATTTGCAATACAAAATGGCTGAAAAACGGTAAACTTCGCAAGGCTATATTATCCTCATTTTACAACATTTTGCAACGAAATTTCGGAATATTACTAATTTTGTGATGCTCTTTCAAGCTGTGATGACATTTTTGTCTAGACTTGTCTAGATCAAAATTTCATGCACTCATAAGGGGAAAGGTCTATTAAGTACTATAACTCCAATCGTTTTTTGTTAGATGAATGCTTGTTTTATAAATGATCCGTTGGATTTATGCAGCATCAATATTGCAGGAAAAGGATTAACATTGGTAAGTAAAATGATTGATGCAATTTTTTTGAAATTTTGATAAAATGACTGATTTCTTTCATTGTTCTTTTTTAGGTGAATGAGGATGATTTTTCAATGTTTAAAAACGTTATTCATATCGATGCTGGTGATAATAACCTCCGGCTAGGTAGGTCCTCAGTAGATCACTACAGGACGTTAGGTTGTTTTCAACAACAGATCTAAGGGGCTGTTTACATAATTATGATCCCAGTTTGCCGGGACGGGCTGGAAGGCAGGATAATTTTGATGCATCGAAAGAAGTCACAAGGCTTAAACGAAAGTTCAAGCGCTAATGAAGATCTCGTAGTTCAAGAAGATTATTATTGATGCTTGAACAACCTTTCGTTTGCATTACTCGTCCTGGCAAAGCGGCCGGGATCATATAAACAGCCCCTTAAATTCAGCAGATTGTGCATGCTGCCTTTGATCCTTTGGGGGTAAGGCAGCACTTTCCTTGCGATAGTAACTCCTAGTACTATAATCTATCACTGTACGAAGATAATGCAGTTTTGCTGAATCATGAACCGTGGCTTATTTCAATACGTCAAAATTATCCCGCCACTCATTAAACCCAGGAAAGCAGCGATTCTGACATATGAAATTATAATCAGACGACTGTTTACTGCAGGATTGAACCCTTGGGTTATAGGTAGATAATACATGGACACTCCCTAATATCAAGATTATGCTTTCCTGTAGTACATTTCCGACGATTTCCAAGCTTGAAGACGTTAGAGCTTCCCTTGAATAACATCTCTGGGACAGTAATTTTAGAAGATAAAGACTTTATTTGGCTTGAGACTTTAGATTTATCTTGCAATCATTTAACTACTGACGATGTCTTAGCTTTGGGTGTATTGCCTGCGTTGAAAGTTTTACATTTGACAGGTAAGTCAGTGCAACATCGGATTTTGCTTTACAAAGTCATGATGAAATATTGCTTTGTTTTTCTTGCATGATACTGGGTACCTGGTGATCGAAGTATACTGATCGAGTTCAAGGACTTGATTAAAGGACCGGAACGGTTGCGAAAAATGCAACACTATAGGTCCTCTGGCAGCTAGGAATCGAACCTCCGGCCCTGTGATTCCGGTGCAGTGCTCTAACCGAAATCGCAGGGCGGCAGGTTGGATTCCTGCCAGAGGACCTAGTGCATTTTTCGCACTAACAAGTGTATATATATCGTCACTTGGATTATCCATCTACTCCATCCAATATTCAAATCTTTCAAATTAGACTGCTTTGACCTGTCCAATCCTCGTTTCAGCGGATTTGAAATATATTACACCAATAAGTTTGCCTTAAATAATATTCTAACATTGCATTAATGCGTTCTCGCACCAATCGAATGATTACACGATCACAAGAACAATCATGTTTATGGAAAACATCTATTAAAGTGTCTATGTCATGATTTGGGATTTTACATATTTTTTTATCTTTGGTGCATTTTATGAAGAAATGCAATATATCTTTATAATATAATATACAATCTAATATATATAATATACCATCTTCATAGGATTATCAGCCCTCAAAGTTACCGGATATGACATCAAGTCGGGAATTTTATCACTAGAAACATGAAAAGAAATCTAATTTGCAATTCCCGGTTTGAAGTCATATCCGGTAACTTTGAGGCCTGATAATCCTGTGAAGATGGAATATTTTCTTTTAAAGATATATTGCATTTCTTCTTAAAATTTACCAATGATCCATAAATAGTTAATCCATAAATGGTTAATGTTTGCTACATAGTAACGTTTGAACTATCTTGCAGTCTTCACCAGGACATAAAATGATAAATCAAAATTGAATAAAATGTTCAATGTTTTCGTTGCTGAGTCCCCCAAAAAACATGGTTGCATGGTACCCTAACTCACCATATTAAGGAATTTGAAAATGTATAACCATTAAGGATAAGAACGATATTCAATTATCCAAAATTTAAATCGATATACTGTATAATTCAACTTCTATTCAAATTTAAACAAAAAATACACTTTTTTATTATAAAGTTTTAAACTTCGCTTTAAACTTTGTACAGGTAACCAGTTGAATGAATTACCTCCTGAAATGTGCAAATCCTTTCCGTAAGTGCTGACTCGTATATTCTCTCGTTGTAATTCCCTTTCATGTAGCAGTTTATTTTTGGTGATTCTAAAATTTCTTTATCAGATTAAAGAAGGGACAAAAACATTGCCGTTTTGGAAGCTTGGAAAAACTGTGGCTTGATCAAAACAACCTGACTGACTTGAGCACTTTCACATGTCTTGCTGGGCTTAAAAGGTTAATAATAATATTTAAAATAACATGTATATAACGCGTGCTCTGATTGGTCGAAACCCGTGTTTGGATCAGGCCATCCAAACACGGAAATTTAAAGTGAAAGTTTTTTAAAGTGAAATTTTAACACGGAAAGTTGTTATTTTATAAAACAATTACTTTATGGTTTCCGTGTTTGGATCATTGGATGGTCTGACCCAAACACTTGGGAATGTTGCTCGAGTTAAGAAAAGCGCGAAAAATCACTCGCCTTCGGCTCGTGCTTTCGCGCGCTTTTCTTAACTCTCAACATGCATTCCCGCGTGTTTGGATCAGGCCATCCAAACACGGAAACCATAAAGTAATTGTATAATGCAGTTTAGGATTTTAATATTCCCTCAGTTGGATATAAGAGAGAAGAGTGCTTCTTCTGGCACTCCTGCCTTACAGGACGTTTAGGGAAAACTTAAAACAGTTGATGAGTTGAAGGGTTTTGTTGATGTAAATGTTTTAGACCTTACCAGGAGCAGTTGCAGAAAAATGAAACTTATACTATAGGCTCTCTGACAGGAATTGAACCTGCAGCCCTACGGTTCTAGAGCAACGCTCTAACCAACTGAGCTACAGAGTCCAGTTGTCGAGCTCTAACCACAAGTTCATGTATAAATACTAAGATGATGCCAATGTAAGATGTATGGGGAAATAACAGAATGTTGGGCATCTCACTCGATAGAACTAATTGTTGAAGGATTTTGTTGATGGAAATTTTCATCAACAAAACACTCAAAAATTAGTTCTATTGAGTGAGATGCCCAAAATCCTCATATCAGAACAAGTAGAACAGTCAAGCATCACTAAAGACAGTTATGCTTGTTATGCTAAAGACAGTTTCGTTTTGCTTGGACTTGCGTAATAGTGTTTTTTTGTTGTTTGCTACCGATTTTAGGTTGAAGTACCTGAACTTGGAGCACAATAACATCGTATCCGTTCCACATTTAAGATTACTTGAGCCTAACATGCTCGGTCATACAGCAGAAATATCAACTGCACCAAACCTCAACGAAGTGATAGATGAGGAAATTGAGGATGTCAATAGTAAAATATCTATTCTTGAAGAAATATTATACAGTGGTGGTAAAACTGAAGGACTGACCGAGAGAAATGGCGTCATTGAAACAGAATGTAGTCAAGGATACTTGCAAGGTACTGCAGATTATGTTCCATAACTCATTTGGAATTTGTCACCAGTGTCTAAGTGGGTAACAGCTTTTATTCATTAGAAATCCTCCATCTCTAGATTTGGATATAGTTGTAGCATCATTCGAACCAAACAAAATCCTTTGTGAAGAAACTGAAAAAAGGCACCCCCTTTCCATAATTGCGCTGCAAATCTTCTCTTGGTCGGGGAGCCTCGTTTTTATGAATCGTATGTGTGGAAAAGGAATATAATAAATTAATTGCAGTGCAGTGAAGCAGCACACTATTCTTGATAAAATCTAAAACTGTGGGGCCTTTCTGTAATCTTCCACAAAGTTTTGCACACTATTATTTATACTACTTGCGCTTCTCCAGAGTTTTCTCATGCCCAATCTATTGAGCGATTTACATATCCTTGCGAATCTCGACTTGCGTCGGTTTGTTTGTCTGGATGTCTTGCGCTAATTCCAATTAGCAAACGTAATAAACGGATGTCCAGTCCAATTAGCTAATTCCAATTAACAACCGTATAAATGGAAAAATAGACAGAAATTGTACGGCGCGTGTCGTTTCCATCTGATCTTCCTGGACCAAATAGTGTTCTATTTGCAAAACCAAATACAAATATATAAAATGTATTTTTGTTAATTTCAAAGTTGTAAGCACTTATTCCAGGGAAAGTGATGCTCTTTCATGGCGACGCTTTAAACAACACGAAGCAGCCCAACATGTGCCTATAGTCATTTTCCCGTCAAGTTCGAGGCGGCACTTCTCTGCGATAGTAACTCCTGGTAATTAATTTTATTAACTTACTATTTGTATAAATTTTTCCACCTTAGATCGACGTATTTTGCCATTTCCGTCTCTATGTCATCTAAACTTGGCTAACAATCAGATTGAGGAAGAAGAAGGCTTACTTGCACTTTCAACATGGCCTCGTCTTGAAGAAGTAGTTATCTGGGGAAATCCAGTGGCCATAAGTGGTAAAGGGGGACCTCCTGTAGTAATGTATCAGCTTGGACTTGTTGCAGGAATTGAAGTTGCAAGGTATATTATGCTCGATTACAGATTCATACACAATTCAGCCGGACGCTACTTGCGGTGCCGCTTTCACCTGGGAGGCTTCTGCTTGAAAAGCGTTGAGAGGAAATATCATGCAGACACCTCCATGTTCCAGCAATAGTTCATTACATTAGTTTTATTTTCATAATTTTTCTGAGGATTGTAATAAATAACCTTTAGACTGACCTAATGCGGGCGTTATAGCTTCTTTCGCGGCCACTAATTTCGAAGGCAGCTACTTTACGAAAAATTTTAAGTACCACAAAAACGTTTCTTTTGGGCAGCTGCTACTTTCTAGAAATGCGTCACATTAGCCAGTCAATTACTAATGCGTCAATTACTAATCAAGAAATGCGTCACATTAGCCAGTCAATTTATAATGATGCAGTTTAGCGTTTGATGGAAACTGAGTGTATGAAGAGATCATATGATATTTATTGTTTAAAGTGCATTAAAATTTTTATTTTCTAAAACGAAAATGCTCTTAAAACTGTATTTTAACTTCTTTGAAGATTTTTTGTTCCCAAGCTTCCCATGAGATATTTCATTTTGTTTGTAACCACGTGACGTCATTTACTCAATATCAGTAATTGTTGTGAATCTTTACTATTTTTTTATCAAACTCTTTCCAAGGATGCGGCGCGTTTGTTAATTTAACCTACATCATTAAGGTGGCTCAATACACTTTTTAGCCAAAGGAGCAAAAGTTGAATATTTTCTGTTTAAATGCTTTTACAGGGTTAAGTTTTACTTATAATTGTAACACATAGTAAGACGTGTCACAGACAAGAAGAATTCTGATAAAAGTCGCGTTTCCATGACAACTATAACGAATACTGGCAACACTAAATAGCCGAAAATATCGCAGTTTTTCGAGTTTTTTTTAAAAATGAGTTCGGTGACCCCAACTTTTTTTTTAATAAATCAGTTACGTTAGTGTCGAGAAACATTTCTGGGAAGTTTAAAAAAAATCTGTCGACTCAATTCTTTAGAATTAAATTTCGACTTTTTTGACAGTTTCTGTCGACAATTTTTTTTTATTTTTCCATCATGAAATCTTGAAGCATGTATCTACTCATGTACAAATTTTCAGGGTACCTTACCGAACTCGTTTTGGAAATAATCACGGTTTTATTCCGCGCGGCCAAAGTTTTTCACACTCTGCAAGATCAATGAATTGACATGCGCGTACATGTTTTCGCAGGCGCATCTCCAGAAAAACACGCACAAAAAAGTTTTTAGTCTCGTCGAAATATCAAATATATATTGTGTTTTCTTGCTTAGAAATGCAAATATATTTGGTTTTTCATGCTAACTCGGGATAACGCCAAGAGAACAGGTGATTGTCGGTCGTTTGGTATAAGATATGTGTGACATGTATGAACTTTTTGGCTTTTCTACATAGTTTTATATTCGTTTTCAGTCGTAACTTGTGTGTTTTCATGTTGTTGTTGACAAGTTAAAACAGTTTGAGCCGGCGCATGATGCTGTTTCACTGAATTCCTTTGCTGTTAGTAACACTTTGAATACATTTACCAGTTGTAAGTACAAAAAAACTCTGGATATGAACTTATAAATCGCCAAATATTGGAGTAAAAAACGTTTCGCCGGTCCGGGGCCGATCGCCAGTTTTCACAAGAGTTTGAAAGTTGAACATTGCATTTTTTTACCTTAAAATGTCTTCTAAAAAGACTAGTTATTCAATGTTCAGAGCTAAATCAGGACGAAGTTTGTTCTTTGAGAACAAATGAGAACAAGGAAGACTCAAAACATCAAAATAAACATGACTTGTGGTTCGGATTTTATACTGAAAAAGTTGTATTTATTTTTGGATATATTTTTAACATTTTCGCGCGAGAACTGAAGATTAGGTACCAGTCCCCCAATGATGAAAAGTGTATGGAGCCACCTTAAGCACCGTATCTTTGCACAGCTTTGGCGTATTTTGAATGTTTTTACAGTTTTGAGATCCTTATAGGACAATCTCATCAAAAACGTTACTACCATGTTCTTAGCTCGTGTTTAATTTTTTGGCGCCAAAGTTGGCACGTCATTTTCCCGCCAAATTAAAATGTAACAAAATCGAAAAACAAAAACGATACGATTTCTAGGAATGGCAAGTTCTATCTTGTGAGAAAGTTTCGTGATATTCCAAACTAAAGTCAGAAAGTTATAAAAACTTGGCCCAATTTGCTGTCTTTTTTTTCCCACCGTGGATGAAATTTTTGTTTAGATCAAAATTTAGTCTATTACGCAAGTGGTCAATTGAATGCCTAGAATCTCAAAGATACTAGTACCTGAAATATACTTCGCCAGAAAATGTGCAGTACACATGACCAAACTAACTTTCTTCAATTATTTAGAAAACCGTACAAAGACGCGGAAGATGGAAGACGACATTCTGCTGAGGGAACAAAGTTCGTTACAAACGAGAAAAACACACCTCAGCGATCTGCGTCCGTCGCACATCGGAAGATCTAATCTCGCTGGAAATCGAGCATCTATGTCGGATCGCGCGCCGAGTGAGAGAAGGCGTGTACGCCGCTGTATAGTCGCTGTATTTGGGAGCTTCACATATGACTCGGAATAGGGTTTTTGGCAGGATGGTAGGCAAACATTTTGTGGACAAAGCCATGTTTAGTGAAGGTGGGAAAACCAGGAAAATTGTTTCCTAGCTATGTTTCCTGAAGGTAGGCACTAGGAAACATGTTTTCTGAAGGTGCGCAAACCAGAAAACATTGTTTCAAAGCCGTGTGTTTCCTGAAGGTGTACAAACCGGGGGAATATGTTTCGTATCATTGTTCCCTAGCCTTTTTCCTGAAGTTGGGCAAACCAGGAAACATAATTGTTAAACGTAAACGTCCCCACAATAAAAAAATGAAACACCAAATAAAATGCCAAAAAATGAAATACAATGCAAAAAAAAGAAAACAGTCCAAATTTCTTAATTTTTAAAATTTTCCCAAAATGTTTTATTTTTCAAATTTCGTAATTTATAAATGTGACTACACTCGTGAGTTCAAATTGAACTCGTCCTTGAAAAACTCACTCGTGCATGTTTTTTTCTCCCAAATTGCAGTCGAAACCATACAATTATCTATACAAACAAGCGCGATATAACAACTTTAGTCCGTCAGTTGCCCATTCACGTCAATTTGAAGCTCCCTGAAACTCGTACGGAATTTGGTTGGACGATATTGAACGACCACATAGCATGGAACCTACGGCGTAACCATAGGTCTTAGAGCAACCTGCTTCCCACAGGGTGATACGAAATTCACCGTTTGATGGATGATTGAGTCACCGTCGATGATTGAGTCATTTGTATGTACAGAGAATATTTGCTGGTCGAAATTTATTTTGGTTATACATCGACCAGACTGACATTAATCACGTGTGTGTCCTTATTAGGACAACGTTACTGTAGAAAACTATACCAATGCAACATTCATTGTTGATTAAAGTTTGTACACAATTTGTACGTTGTATGTTGTTGTTCTGGCCTTCTGGGTACAATACCTGCATATACAAGTGTCTGATTATATTTCGTCTCAGGTACATGTAAGGAAAGTGCTTTCAGTTTCACTATGACCAAACAAGGTGCAGGTTTTCTCCAATATTTTCTGTTTCCTTTTGTACTGAGTGGATCAATAAGGGAAACCATAGATGGAGAACTATTTTATAACCGATGGGGCCGTCCAGTTTCGTTTTCTTCCTCTAGAAATACTGGACCATTGAGGGATGACCCTTAATTAATGGACCACTTAGAATCGAAATATATATAGCACATATGGGACACGTTGGTTTGCCTGTTGCCGAATCAGTGATTATCAGATCAGTGTGTATCCCAGAAGATGCTAATTTCGAGCGAAATACGTCAAAACTGTTATGTGCTCCACTCCAGATGATCTTGATACGCGGAAAAGTACTGGCACTAGTTGTCAAATAGAAATCCATTTTATGATTAAAGCAACTGAATATCTCCTGTAATATACTTTATTTCGATTCCATATTTTTGTCAGAGCTAGAGTTCTCATAACCAAACATAATTAACAAATTTCAACTAATTTCATAAAGAATAACGAAATATATAATTGACTGAATACATCAAAATGGATTTCTATTCAGACTACCCTTTCTGAGCGCTGATTGGCTAAAATACGAACACGAGATCACCTGGCTATCTGCTTTGATCATCATTCAAGCATGTAATCAACTTCCACAAGACGACGCAATAACCAACGTAAAGTCCCAAGTTCGAAGTCTTCGGGTGGAAAGAGCAACTACCTCCTCATTATCGGTTGATATTCAACTTTCCCAAGAGCAGCATCGAACAATCTCTTTAGCCCGAGATAAAGGTGCCTCTGGATGGTTAAATGTCTTACCACTACAAGAAGAAGGCTTCTGTCTGAATAAAGAAGAATTCAGAGACGCTTTGGCGCTGAGATATAACAAATATATCCCAGATCTCCCAAGCATATGTCCCTGTGGAAAACTTTTCGATCCTTACCACGCGATGGAGTGTAAAAAAGGTGGCTTTATACACGCGCGCCACGACCAAATGAGAAATGTGGAAGCTGCTCTCCTCTCTGAAGTCTGCAATGATGTTTCTATCGAGCCACCTTTACAACCGGTGACAGGAGAAGAATTTGCCTTGAGATCAACAAACACAGAAGATGAATCACGACTTGATGTGAAAGCTAGGGGTTTCTATAGACATGGCCAAAGTGCATTTTTTGACATAAGAGTAGCACATCTTAACGCCGCGTCCTATAAGTTACTACCAACCCACAAGATCCTCTCACGTCATGAGAATGAGAAGAAAAGAGAATATAATCGAAGAGTAATTGAAATTGAGCAAGCAGTTTTTACACCATTGGTCTTTGGCACAAATGGTGCGATGGGTAAAGAATGTGCGAGATTTCACAAGATTCTTGCTACAAAGCTGGCAGCCAAATTTGGCAAACCATACTCAATAACTATGTCTTGGCTACGTGCGAAACTCTCTTTTTGTCTGCTGAGATCTTCCCTTCTATGTTTGAGGGGCACTAGAGTTCCTTTTTATATGAATAATACTAGTTTGTTTGACACTTTGTACTAACTTGAACCTTTTTAAACGAATTGCTTTAATGGATTTTATATATTTTTAATGTATTTAGCTATGCTCAATCTATGAATAAATCTTTAAATATCAGTGAATACATATGCATCTGATTGGATGACGACCTGATGACGACTCACTTTAAACTTGCTGAGCACGCGCAGTTGATCATTTTTCGCCCGGTCGCCTGAAAAAAAAGTGTGTACATGAAAACGTAATCTTCCGCAGTGTTTACGACGGTCAATTACGTCTCTGTATGTCTCTACTCTGTGACCGGTGCTCTATCCAGTCTTAAGCCGGTTTTCCACTTCAAGCGTACCGAAACGTATCAAAAACGTTTTTAAATTTCAAAATTTCGGGAATGTTGATTGGTTAGTACTTCCGTATGAGGTGCCGTTACCGCCAAAATTCAGAGTGCTTATTTTTGAAAATGCAGACATTATTTTTGAAAATGCAGACTTTATTTTTGAAAATGCAGGCATTATTTTTGAAAATGCAGGCATTATTTTTGAAAATGCAGACATTATTTTTGAAAATGCAGACATTATTTTTGAAAATGCAGACTTTATTTTTGAAAATTCAGACATTATTTTTGAAAATGCAGACATTGTTTTAAAATGCAGACATTATTTTTGAAAATGCAGACATTATTTTTGAAAATGCAGACATTATTTTTGAAAATGCAGACTTTATTTTTGAAAATGCAGACATTATTTTTGAAAATGCAGACATTGTTTTAAAATGCCGGCATTATTTTTGAAAATGCAGGCATTATTTTTGAAAATGCAGACATTATTTTTGAAAATGCAGACATTATTTTTGAAAATGCAGACTTTTTTATGCAGAGGTCTGGTGGCGAGTTGAGCAGGTACCCGGAACCCGGGCTCCTTAAAAACAAAGATGGCGGATAATTTGGGCGGGAAGCACTGAGCTATAATATATCTGGAGGAAGTGCTCGGCATCATCAAGTGAAGCCAAAAACATGGCGGATTTTCACGTCTGCTGACGCCAGAATGACGCCACTGGTCCCAAATCCTCGTGGTAATTACCATAGGCCGTAGGATGAGCATCTAAAAGATGCAATTCCGTTGCACCCCTCGTGTAACTACGTAATTTTCGCATGAATAAATAGATAAAAACTTACTTTACCAGAATCTGTTGCTCCCCAAGCGAAACAGTTGCACAATTGGGAGAAAAATCCCTCCAAAGTTTGATATTTTCGCGCTTCGAAATACTCGAACCGCCATTATTTTGGTAGCAAATACGCATGCGCAACTCAGCCAAACTCGCACTGCGCACGCGCAGATTATAAAAATAGACTCTCACTGGGGGGTTTCCCCGATTTCCTCCACAAAAAACAACAAAATAAAATCACGGAATACTGACCAATACTGATAAACCTTGTAATATAAATACACCCACATTAAATATTGTTAAAAACACATAGTATATTTTGCTTGCTCATATGCTAAATCACTTCAATTCATTGGCTATTGTTTCAAAATACCGTTTTAACGTTTAATTCTACTTTATATTAACATCCTATATCAAACAGGACGAAGAATAAAAAGTATATATACATACAATTCACACGATCAAGGAACAAATGAAATATTTCGCTAAACTTAAAGCCTTGGCCAAACGTAAGAAATAATGTCGCGGAAATATTCGTGATTTTTAATTGGCTTTTATTGCAGACGCAAAATTTGCTTCCCAGAAAGCAAATTATTTCCTACCAAATTCAGAAGCATTTTATGAAACACTCTTTATCCGTTTGCCGACGCTAATAAGACAATATGACATACCGAGAGATTGGAAAGACAAATAATATGACAAACAGTGTTTCCCAGTTCATCCCGGGCTTTAAGGGATATTTATATAAACTTGAAATTCATCATAAAAAAGATAAATTGGGAGGAAATATAAAATCCATAATTTCATTATAGCTATCTATAATTGAAAGAAATGTTTTCATCTTTGAACCCAGATTTTCATCAGAGCAATAAAATCCCACTTATTGGATCCTGGCCAAGGGCTTGCATGCTCAAAACGAGATTGCAT